CAGTAATATTTAGATTTATTTTTTCGTCGTTCCAAGTAATAGAAAAATAAGGAAAAAGAAAGAGTAGTTCAGTCAGTTCCTGAATCGTCTAAAAAAACATTCAAGTCATTTTTTACAGTTTTAAGAAAGTTATACCGTTTTAAAGGGTGTCCACACATATTTGTGTCCCACTGTACATATACAGTTACATACTTCAAATGACCTCAAGAAGATTTATGAAATCATAAATATACCAGCTTGAAGTGGAGAAAAATGTTTTATTTTATGAGAACTTCGTCCTTGAACTGTCGATCTTCTAGTCTAAACGTATCTTTTTCTCAGAAAAAAACTGCACGAAAAATATTATATAATATAATATTATATATTATATTATATTATATTATATTATATTATATATAATATTATATATAATATTATATATTATATTATTCACAAACTTTGAATGCACCGAGTGTCGCGAATTTCAATGTCAAAACTTCGGCTCGTCAAGGAGATTGATGAATTCAGAAGAAAAAAAAAATCGTACTTTAGAGATTACTTGTACTGATTTATCGACTGTTGTGTATTTGAGGTACATATTTATATTTACCGAAGATTGATGGTACTGTTTCACAGTTCTCCTCAGATGTAAACACTTCACTTATCTCATTCTTGGAGATTTCGTGTTTGTTTACATTCTCGTTTCCTCCTATGTATCAGTTATTGATTCAGATAACTTTGAAACAAATTACATACGTATCTTGCAATGCTTCGCGAACATGCACCAATATTATTAATATTCGTGCATGTGGCGGAATTGTGTGTACGATTTCGTTAATACATCAAAAGCAAAGTGTGAAAAAAAATGTCATATATAGAAAATTAAAATTAAAAAGGTTAAATCATCGTTTTTATTCCAGCACTACAATGTGTTCATAGTAATGTACACCGGCATGCTGGCCGCTGCCTTTCTCTCTCTCTCTTTCTCTCTTCCCCTCCCTCACACACACACACACACACACACGCGCGCGCGCGCGCGAGGTGTCGGCAACTATAAAGGCGAGCCGCGAGACTCGAAGAATGACGACTTCAATTCTGGGATTGACTGCTTACAATTCGGACCTGGCGACAATCGGAGAGAAATTCTAACAAAAAGATTCTTTATCTATCTGATACTTCTCCGATGTATGTATTTATAACTCGTGCCTGTGATAACGTCTTGTCAAGTGAAACTCTTTGAATGAGATATAACTTGATAATCGTGGATACTTTGGACTAAATGTAATCAATTTGTGTTAATCTGTAAAATACAATATTGTGATAAACGATACAAATGTCTGGACATGTAAAGTATTAGTGTACACTTTATATGTACACTTGAAACTAAAAGAGTATTTGCAACGTCTAAGAAGTTTCTCCGCTACTTTCTGAAGAGCTGATTATATTTTGCAATCCAGATTATACCATAGAAGGTTGTATCTTGTTTCAACGCTGTATATTTCTCTGTTTAAGATTCTGAAAATTTGTGAAAAGACATAAAAATTATGTGAAAAATTATTATATTATATTATAATATATTATAATACTATTATATTATAAAAATTATTATATTATATTATTATATATTATAATATTATTATATTATAAAAATTATTATACATATAATTATTATGTGAAAAAACATAAAATTGAAAAAAGAAAAATGTTTTGAAAATTCGAGTACAATAC